TGTGAAGAGTTTTGAATTAATTCCACTGGCAGCAGAAATCTCAAAACAGCCTAGTATAAACTATGTAGAGTGGTTATTAGTGGTAACTCTAACAAAGATTTATAAAGAAAAGGAGAAAGCTGAGCATGGTAAATTCCAAAATATAAATTTTGAGGAGAAAGAGTACCAGGAAGTTGAATGGAGCTAAGTATTGTGTTCAAGGAAATAAACAGATTAAGAAATAGAATAAAGGGAGTGGTGACCTCAGAACAAGATCCCAACCAGCTATTTTTCCAACTTGCAAAAAGGAACTAAAGAAAAGATTAGTACTGGGTGTGGTGGTGATCACCTTTTATCCCAACACTCAGAAGGCAGAGGCTTGTGGATCTCTGAGTTTGAAGCCAGCATGGTCTAGAGATCCAGTTTCAGGACACCCAAGCTTAGGCAGTTCTCCACCATCACAGGACCAAGGCAGAGTGTAGGCAGCCATGGTGCTGACCACATCTTGATCAGAAGGCAACAGGAAGTGGGCTCAGACACTGGGTGGTATCTTGATCTTATATGCAGTCTCAAAGCTGCTTCCACAGTGACATATTCCCTCCACCAAGACCATACCTACTTCAATAAGGTCATACTACCTAATAGTACCACTCATTGTGAGATTATGGGGCCAGTTACAGTCAAACTACCACATTCTACTCCCTGGCTCCTATAAGCTTGTAACAATATCATAATGCAAAATGTGTTTAGTCCATCATCAAAAATTCCCATAGTCTATCACAGTCTCAACAATTTCAGAGATATTGATGACGAAAATGGTTTATAATAATGTGAATATGCTTAATGGCACCAAACTAAACTTTGTAATTGAATTTGTTAAATATAGAGAGGACCATGAATAAGATTGGTGGTAAACAAAGGCACCAAAAGTTGACTTTTAACAATACAGTTGGAAGATTTGTTTTGCTTCATTGGTCTTTGAATTCAGAAGCATATTGCTCTTGTTTAAATTCAAAGACTGATAACATCAACAGAAATATGATTACATGTGATGGTTCAGTGAGTTTGACACCACCTCTGGAGCTACTGGAACCTTTTTTATAGAGTTATTCTCTTCCATAACTCTGTTCATATATTCATACATAAATCCTTGGATGTGTGACTTTCTCAATTTCTACTTATTGAGAATATGGCACCTAACTTTAAGAATCAGTATCCTTTCTTTTTGTAGTGGAGATAAAATTTTCATGCTTCTCAGTTACACAGGACACCATGTGAGGTAGGCAATCATAATGATGAAAAACGGTGTCTTTGACTTTTAAAAAATTCCTGTCTGGTAGCTAAGTGTCCTGTTTTATCTTGTTGACTAAATGGGCCATTAATGAAAATATCAAAATCCCTAATTCCTGGGTACTGTCATTTCAATCTTTAAGTAACATAATCCTTTAACCTAATCACATTATTTTTTTTTTGTGGTAAGTCCACCCTCTGAATTATAAACTATAATTAAAACTACTCCATATACTAGGCCAGCATCAATGAAGCTATAATTAGCAAGAGAAATTTACAAAATTTTAATAAAGTAGCTTTCAAAAGTATAGCACTCAGGTCTTATCTTAAACTTCAATATACATACCAATTTAACACCCATCCAAGTGCGTTCCTAAAATAAGTCACTGCTAATGAAGTTTGTAGGCACCAAGAGAGAGTGTGCAGATGACCTTGACTCTGTCTTGGCAAGTATTTCAACAGAAACAATTATCAGTCCTCTGGGTACTTGAGAGGCCAAAACATTATCAGATCCTATATTGTATCTGGAAGTCTATTTAAACAGTTGTTTAGAATCAAGGAAGAAGGAATTCCACAGGTTTTGTGAGCCAATGATTAGAGATGTGATAACAAGATTTGTTTAAGAAACACTGCTTGTTCTCAGTGAGTTTATACAAAGGTAAGTTACAGGAAAACTTGAGTTAGGATTGAAAGAAATTCTCTCTACACAATGTTCAAAGGCTACTAAGAAGCAAAGCAGGCGCCCATGGTGGTAAAGGAAACCAGATCCTTTCTAGCTATGCTATGCACTTACACATTTTATAGTGCAATACACAAATGCCTTCTGCTTTAAAATATTTGGCCCTATTTCAAGTACTTTTAACTTGAAGTATATTTACATATTATAGAAACACATATGTCTATAAATATATCTCAGGAATAGCTTGTTTCAGAGTCAATTGTGACAATGGTAATAAAAATGAATGAAAATATGCACACTGGAGAACTGTCTAGAGAGATGTCAGTTCACAGAGTCTGTGGGAAATTGTGCTGCAAAGGAGAAGAAACAATAACTGTACTAAACTTCAAACAAGGACATCTCTCTATTAAACTACACTGCATCGTTTCTTTACATACTTTAAGGTGATTCACTTGATTTGAACAATTTATTCTTACTGAAGTGGAACTTGTAATCTTATTGTGGATTCAAAATATAAATATTTTGCTATGAAAATGAAAACATAAAACACAGTAACATTAAGTAATCTGTAGGAATAATCAAATAGGTGATATTGAGAATGGTTGAAGTCACCTTTAAATTACTATGTTCAGTAACGCCATTAAAATACTCTGATTCTAAAGTCTTGTTCGTAACATCTTGAGAACTTTTCACCTTTTCCATTTTCCACACTGATAGTTTGAAGTTAGAACTTGAAATACATTGAGAATGATTAACAACATAGTCCCCATATACACGTCCAATGAATAAAAGGGAACCACTCAGAGACTAAGCTTCTCTGAAAACCGAATGTTTTTTCCTCACTCATATTGTAACTGAGGGGCCTTGATGCTGACCTCTCCATCCAGAATGTAGATGTTATGGGAAGGAAATTATGTCGCTTGCTTTTTGGCGGGTGTTGTGGAAAGAGGCAGAAAAGGGAAGAGAAAGAATAAATCCTCTCCTCTTTTGTAGAAACACTGTCATGCTAGTGAAAGTCCACATGTGTAGAAATTAAAAGAAAACATTTTTGGATAACATCAACATTTCCACCAGTTATCAATGAAAACTTTAAATTCACTGATTTGATTGGATGTATACCAAAAACAGAAAATATATTTTCTTAGACAGCCCTCTCCTAGACATGCTCACCTCATGTAACTCTATTGCAAACAGTGAGTGCCCAGCAGAATTTTACATAACCCTGAACATAATCCTAAATGAGGAAATAGTTCAACATCTGGGAAAAATTTATGGAATACTGTGAGGACACAGAAGGACTTTGGAGCCTTTACATGTACAAAGAGTGGGATCATGAAAGAAGGGACGTTGGAAGTCAGGCAGAAAAGCTGCTGTTCTAGAATTAATTATACTCAGTGAGCTGTAAAAAGATGTTCGTTTGTCATCCAGAAAGTAACTCTCCCTGCAGTTCTGTCTGTCCCTGGTTCCTGTACCTCATATAGTACAGAGGAATCATCCAGTGAGGCTTTTGTTCTTTAGTGTCCCAATAAATTTCATGCACAGTATGTTCCTAGATTTGAACATTCACATTCATGTGCAAATGTAGTTTCAAATAAGTTGAGATTCATATTTTCTCACAAAAAAAAACAGTGAAGAAAGTCAAGTTTGAGATTATTCCTAGGGTTATTTTTTTTTAAGGTTGACACCTAACCTTCAGTCAGCAAGCATAATAAGATTTTGTTTGGTTGTGGTGTTATAATAAAGTATTAGTAGTAAGCTAACCTACTCCCATCTTCAAAATTGCCTGCAAAGTGATATTAAGTGTAAAAGGAAATGTAGCTTTTCTATTTCAGCAGTTACAACAATGAGATAACAAAGTATTTCAGTTTAGTTTTACAATAACATTAATGGGGCACTATGTTTTTTTCAGATGACCATATGGCCACAGCCTGTACTAAACCAAAGAAAGGATGAACAATGTCACAGAATTCATCCTCCTGGGCTTGACTCAAGACCCAGATCTGCAGAAACTCTTATTTATTGTGTGCTTAGTAATCTATGTGATTACACTGGCAGGTAACACGCTCATCTCAGTCACCATCTTCATCAGCCCGGCCCTGGCTACTCCCATGTACTTTTTTCTGTCCTACTTGTCCATCATAGATGGTTTCTACTCTTCTTCCATAGCACCCAAAATGATCTATGACTTGATCTCTGAGAGGAGCAGCATATCCTTCAATGGCTGCATGACTCAGCTTTTTGCTGAGCATTTTTTTGCTGCAGCTGAAATCATCTTGCTGATTGCCATGGCTTATGATCGCTATGTAGCCATTTGTAAGCCTTTGCATTACATAACCATCATGAGCCGACCTGTGTGTATATTCCTGGTGAGGGCTGCTGTAATCCTGGGATTCATCCATGGAGGAATACAGATTTTATTTATGGCCCAATTACCATTCTGTGGCCCAAATATCATTGACCACTTTATGTGTGATTTAATACCACTCCTCGAGTTGGCCTGCACTGACACTCACACTCTTGGGCCCCTGATTGCTGCCAACAGTGGGTCACTCTGTTTGCTCATTTTCTCTATGTTGGTTGCTTCATATATAGCCATCCTTCACTCCCTGAGGAATCACAGTTCAGAAGGTCGTCGCAAGGCCCTGTCTACCTGTGCTTCTCACGTAACTGTCGTTGTCTTATTCTTTGTACCTTGTTCATACCTGTACCTAAGGCCTATGACTTCCTTCCCCACTGACAAAGCCGTGACTGTATTTTGTACCCTGGTGACACCTATGTTGAACCCATTAATCTATACCCTCAGAAATGAGGAGTTCAAAAAGGTTATGAAGAAGCTCTGGGGTCAAATGTGCAAAGCTGGTGATGCATAAACCTGGGGATTTGTGTGTATAAAAATATCTAGGTCTGTTTTATGGACACTTGTTCTTCTTAAATGATTAAAATGATGACAGTGAATTATATCCTATCTGCACCAAATTTTCATTGAATAGTAATTATATCTCTGAATGGAGTTCAATGTGACAATCCATGTAGATAATAAATATGTGAAATTATGGTGATAAACATTTCTATCCCATTTGATGACCACGGCTTCTTTGTGCTGTAAACCTTTAAACTCCTCTCTAGTTCTTTATAAAACATATAATAAATTGTTGTGAACCATGTTCAGCCCAGTGTTTAGTATGTCCTCCTCTGATATACATGTATTTTGGTTTCTGTTATCCAACCTTACAATATTCCTTTGTTTTCTGTTCTCCTAGTATCTATGAGCACTATTCTACTCTCAACTCTAATGGGATAAAACTTTATGGCTTTTGTATTTGAGTGAGAACTTCCAGCATTTGGCTTTCTGTGCTTGGCTGTTTCCCTTATATCACATCATCCATGGATAAATACAGATTTTATTCCTGGATCAGTTACTATTTTTTGGCCCAAATATTATTGATCACTTTATGTGATTTTATGCCACTTCTGGAATTGGCCTGCCCTGAAACTTTCTTGGGCCACTGATTGCTGCTTATAGTGGGTCACTGTGTTTACTCACTTTTTGTATGCTTATTGCTTCTTCTGTGGTCAATCTTCATTCCTTATTCATTTTTTGAAAAATTATAGTTTTGAAGGGCATCACAAAACCCTCTCTACCTGTGTTTATCATGTCTCTGTTGTTGTCTTATTCTTTATACTTTGCTCATATTTGTTTGCAAGACCTCCTTTCCCATTGACAAAGTTGTGAGTTTGTTTTTCATACTAGTGACAACTCTGTTGAATCTTTTAATCTTTATTCTCAAAAATGAAGCCAAGAAGGTTGTTAAGAATCTCCTGGGTCCAATAAGGTCAAACATTGATTAAAGAAGGCCAGTGATTTTCTGTGTTTATACAGGAATATCTAGTGACATTTTATGTAGTTTTCTTTTCCATAAGTAATTTAAATTGACATAGTCAATTATACTCTGCACCAGAATTGGACTATGGATAATTCATATCATCTACAACCATTCACTACTACGTTCCCCCATGTACTTTTTCTGGCTTTCCTGGATGCATGTACTCTTTTTTTTTTTTGAGACAGGGTTTCTCTGTAGCTTTGGAGCCTGTCCTGGCACTAGCTCTTGTAGACCAGGCTGGCCTCGAACTCACAGAGATCCGCCTGCCTCTGCCTCCCAAGTGCTGGGATTAAAGGCGTGCACAACCACCACCCGGCACACGTACTTCTTCTACTGTTACACCCAAGATAATTATAGATTGTTTTTATGAAAGGAAGACCATCTCTTTTGAATGTTGCATGACACAACTGTTTACAGTACACTTCTTCACAGGGGCAGAAGTAATTGTCTTGGCAGCCATGGCCTATGACCGCTATGTGGCCATTTGCAAGCCTCTATTCTTCCATTATGACCAAAGGCTCTGTGCTGTTTTAGTGTTGGTATCTGGGGCAGGAGACTTTTTGCATTCTATCATACAAATTATATTCACATTGCAGCTGCCTTTATGTGGAACCAATATTATTGACCACTACATGTGTGACTTGTTCCCATTACTGAAGCTTGCCTGCACTGACACACACATTTTTGTCCTTTTGGTGTTTGTCAACAGTGGGGCTATTTGTATTATATTCTTCTCATTATTGCTTGTCTCCTATGGTGTTATATTGTTTTCTCTGAGAGCCCACAGTTCTGAAGGTCTATATAAAGCTCTCTGCACCTGTGGATCCCATATTACAGTTGTGTTTTTGTTCTTTGTCCCGTGTATATTAATATATGCAAGACCTACATCTGCATTGTCCTTTGAGAAAAATATACTTGTATTTGTCAATGTTTTGACACCATTGCTCAATCCTATGGTTTATACTTTCAGAAACAAGGAAATGATGAATGCCATCAGAAAAATGTGGAAGACATTTACAGTGGTTTCTGATAAATTTTAAAATATTCCACTTTCATTGGGTAAGGACCCCTACAATGGCAACATGATGATTTGAGATTACTTCCCAGAAACCTTCATGCTATTACTAACAGGGAAGCACATTTTTAATTTAGTATTGGTGCACAGGAAATTTGTGATCCCAGAGTTTTGCTTCATTATGGATTTATCTGAGGAACAGTGATTTCAAGGTTCAATGGAGATTTGTTTTAAGAAAATGTAGTAGAATACAATAGATTATCATAGCAACTGACTGTTTTTGGCTCTGTATCAATGTTAATAGTCATATATACTATTTATCTTTCACATATACTCCCATGTTTTATAACACTCACATGCACATACCTCATACACACCAACATAAAGAAGTAACCTTGAAACCTCAATCAAAAAAAATAAAGAAATCAATACTTTCTTGGGCTAATACTATATTCTAGACTCCTTGTAAAGTGATGGCATCTTTAGATACAGCGGACATCAATAGTGGGAGTGAGAATTCATGTTTCAGAGTTCATACCATCACTCTTAAAATACTAATCAACATTGTTTTATAAAAACTAAAGCCAGTTTAATTGTATCCTCTCATTTATTTAATCAAATATTTGAGAACATTTAACTATTTGAATGGCTGTTGTTAACACTGTTTTGTTAAAAATTGCTGGCAAAATAAATGTGCATTTGAAATTATTTGAAGAAAAAACGAGTTTCTAAATGACACCCTGAGACTCCAGAACTTAGAAACACAGAGATGTTGTAGCAGATCTTGATCTCTATTTATCTCTGAGCTTATTTGTCCCTGTACTGTATTTATCTTGTCTTTTTCTGTTGTTGTTGAAAAGTGACTTTTTCAGACAGTATATTCTTATTATTATTTCCATTCTCTTATCTTCTCCCATGTCTTTCTAACATCCCTACCCATCCTGGTGAGATCATGAACTGGAGACCTGTCCCTGACCCTCACTAGCTGTAGCACTTTGGAGAGCAGCCCCTGCTCCTTGCATGGACAACATAGTTGTGCTAGTCCTGGTGGTATAGATGTGGGCGAATCATCTCTAAGGGCATGAAAACAGGAAAATCAGAAACACCCATTACTCCCTGTTAAATGGCCCAGGGCAATGATGGAGAGCTCACCCTGTTGATAAGAATAGGGGAATATTTTGTACAACTCCTACAAGATAAGCTGAATATTTAGATCTTGAGGAAAATCTTGAAGGGCTTTAATAACAGCATACAATTCATTTTCTTGTACAGAACAATAATCTGTAAATTCTACCCAGTACTTAGATTCTGTCCCATAAGCACTTTCAGTTTTGGAACCATCAGAAAATAGTTAATACATCAGGTAAAGGATTGACAGATACAATATCATGAATTACAAATTCTTGTTTTTGTAAATAGTCCCACAATTTGCTTTTGGGGTTATGATATTCAAAGTTTCCAGTAAAAGAAACTAAAGAAACTTGTAAAGCTTCTGAAAGCTGACACATATATTCAGCTTTTTCTTTTGGTAATGGAAAAAATTATAGCAGAACAATCTAGACCTGTCAAAGTAAGACATCGTCTCCCTTCTTGAATTATATAGGCTAACATTTCTTCATAAGTTGTTATTGCTTTAGAAAATGTATGCTTTGTGTAAACCCACTCAAGGGGAAAAATATCTTGAGCTAAAATACCTGTAGGATATTGAAAAGTATCCAATATTAATAATTTAATAGGAATGTTAGGTTGTACTCTACTCAAAAAATCATTTTTAATATGTTCGTCAACTAATTTTAATTCTACCTGAGCAATTTTAGAAAGAGATGGAGGGCTATGGAACTCCTGATCCCCTTGACAAAGAAGCCAAATCCAATAGATTTTTTAGATTTTTTTAGACATGGTCATAACTTGTGAAGCAGGCACTACTTTCTGTTTCGACTCAGTGGCCAGTTTTTTTCATTTGCTTTTCTAGTCCATTAAGTTTCTCCAAAACGGATTGCAAATCCAAACTAGTTGTTTTGATTGAGCTTTCTTGGTTCTTTAGTTTTTTGATTCATGTCCAAATTTTTTATGGGTGGAGTAACCTCCTTTCCCAGATCTGTCACTAACCGCTCTTCCATCATAGCTCTGAAAACAGTAAAAATCATAGACCATATAGACCATAAATGAACAGGTATTTTCTCACACTGTCTCACAGTTTTTTCAACATTAGTTTTAATTCTTTGCCAAGTATCTATATCTAAGGTGCCTTCTTCTGGAAACCAAGGATTATATTCCTTAATTACTTCAACACACATTTCTAAATCAGAAAAAGAAACAGAATCACTATGAGTTTTTACTAAGTGTTTTTGCATAGCAAGATACGGAGAAGATTTAGCTTGTTCCATTACCTTGTAATAAAGATTACTTACTTGGTTAATGTTTTCTGACCCTTCCTAACTTTTCCTCTTCAGGGTCCCTCTTCAGGTGCCATTTGTCAACGTCTAGTGTGTTGGGGTTCTTGGGTAAGGGTCTTGTGCAAATCAGGACACAGAGGGTGCAGGTAGGTTGTCAACAACTGCATAACAAGCTCGATTTTTGTATGGCTTTTTATACAGACTAAAAAGCATTACCTCAACTCTGAAATCCCCCTTTACTCACGTACATGATCATAAGAAACAATACCTCAATTAATAACAGTAATAAAAATAAAAAGTACATAGAAACAAGGCAAAAGTATACAGAAACAAAGCCCTCCTTTGTAACTGGTAGAGTGTGAAGAACTGAGCTCAAAGGCCACTTCCTTATCCAGGGTACAGATTCTCACAGAACATTTGAGAAATGGGCAGAGAAAGTTTGCTTTCATCTATCCTTGGTTTGCCAAGCAACCATTTCCCAACTTTATCTCATCTGTCCCAGGAGGAGCCTGCTCTCTAAAAGTATATTAACTGTAAGTATACAGCTTATAATTATTTACTAATGTATGCAAATACATTCATTGAGTCAACATGAAGATTAAATTTAGAGTATTATCAAAACTCAGAGGTGCCTTTCTACCCTCTTCTATTGACTGCACCCTTTGGAGTATCCCATATATTTAAAAGCTATTGGACTGGGGCTGTAGCTCAATTGGTAGAGTGCTTGCTTGGTGTGCATAAAGCCCTGGGCTTAATCTCCATCGCTTCTATCTTAGGTTTACTATTGCTGTGATGAAACACCATGACCACAAACAACTTGGGAAGGAAAAGGTTTATTTTGCCTTACAACAAAACTTCACTGTTCATTGAAGGATTTCAGAGCAGGAACTCAAACAGGGCAAAAATCTTGAAGCAGGACCTGATACATAGGCCATGAAGGAGTGCTGTCTACTTACTTGCTTCTAATAGCTTGCTCACCCTGCTTTCTTATAGAACCTAACACCATTAGCCAAGAAGTAGCACTACCTTCAATGGTATTGGCCCTCTCACATCAATCACTAATTTTAAAACTGCCCTAAAGGCTTGCCTACAGCCCAATCTTATGGAGGCATTTTCTCAATTGAGGTTCCCTCTTCTCAGAAATCTTTGGCTTGTATCAAGTTGACATAAAAAGTAGCCATCACAATCACCTAAACCAGGCAAAGTGGTACATACCTATAATCCTAGCACTTTGGAAGAATAGCCAGGAAGATCAGGACATTAATGTCCTTACCTTCATAGCAAGTTCAAGACTAGTCAGTACTGCATATAACCATGTCTCCAAAAAATATAAAAAGAAGCTGTAACATTTACTGTTTTTCTTATGTCAAAATTGTAACATTAATCCATGATATGTAGATTGACTACATAAATATATTAGTAAACTGTTTTAATTACTATATATTTCATTGTGGTTTACTGATATTTTAATACTTTCCAGTTTTAGGTATGAATAATAACCCAAACATTTTTTTCAACTTTCACATATGTCTCTTTTGTATAATAATAGCTGAGTATTTAGTACATTTTGTTATCTGCTTACCTATTTGTTTTAAATTGCTTGTGTTCTGGTGAAAATGCTTTAATATCTCCTGAGAAGATTACAATGCAAAAGAAAATGGATGACTGAAGAAATGTGATCCTGTGCTTTTTTTTACCTTGATAAAAGTAATTTTATTATGCACATGTTTCATAATTACAATGACTTCAAAATAGTACTGAAAATTACAAGGAAAAATTTTAAAAATGAAAAACTGAGTCTTCATTAAACTTAACATGACCCATCAGTTCCATTGTTAAATTTACAAATAAATTTATTGGAGAGGAGCGCTGGTAGAGCCAAAAACAGCTGCACATGCTAGTCAAGTGCACCACTGAGGCCATCAAGCTCCAGCCCCAGCTCCAGCTATGCAGTTAAAAGAAAGCACCTTGCCCTAAGCACTAAAAGATGAACAGCAACTTGAATTTTAACTACATACATCAATTCCTGCCTCGGTCATATGAAAGTTGTATTAACTAGTTTACTACAGCATCAAGTAAGGAAAGTACATACAGTTCAAGTTTCACATCTTACAGACTAAGAAAACTAAAAAGTAGACTTTCTCAAGGTCACAAAAATTGTAAGACTAAAACTCCTGATCTACCGCAAGCCTTTGCCCAATGCCATTTGCACTCTTTTGACTTATGTTAATTACATATTTCTCTGTAGCATTCAAAAATAGCCTATTTTAAAACAAAAATTTCATCGCTGTGTGTGTGGGTGTGTGTGCACCAAGGCATACACAAGGCAGAGGACAACATCCACCATGTGGACTCTAGCAACTGAACTCTGGTTTTCAGGCATTTTCAAGTACTCTTGCCCACTGAGCCACCCATCTTACCCGCCAAGTGTTTTAAGTATCTTTCCAAAATATTTAAAAGTACTTCATAAACAACTAGGGCTTTTGGCAAAAGAACCATAACACCACTTATTATAACCCTATTTCCACCTCTTACAACAGTTTCCTGTGATCTTAAGAGTCTCTAAGAAAACCATGATCTCCTTTATTCATACCCCCAAGTCACATCTGGAGTATCTCAAAAAACTTGA